CTTCCTTCCTTCCTTCCTTCCTTCCTTCCTTCCTTCCTTCCTTCCTTCCTTCCTTCCTATTTTGTGCAGGGTTTCACTCTGCAGCTCAGACTCACAGTGGTCCTCCTGTTTTCAGCCTCCCCAGCACTAGGATTACGGGCGTGCACCACCACACCCCATCTCAGTGGCCAGCCTAGTGCTTCTGGGGCCAGGGTCTGCACAGCATGTGAGGCTAGAGATCAAAGCCCAGTCCCTGCATTTGCCTAAGCAGGTGCTTAGTCCACTGAGCTATCTTGCTGGCCCTTTTCTTCCCACTTTCTTTGAGTTCTATTTTATGGAGCCTTTTAGTAGACAGTATTATTTTTATCTTTCTTATGGTAGGTATTCGCTGCATTTAATTTTTGTTTTAATTTTTACTGGTCCCTATAGTAGTCAACGGACTAATTGTCACTTGAGTAGGAATACTGACTTGAGTCAGCATAGTTTTCAGACAGACCTCATAAAGTCTTAATGATATAATTGATATCCAATGATATCTTAATGATAATTGATATCCAATAAGCTGTACCTATCCCTTCACTGATTAAAGCCTGTGGCCACTTTGCCGTCCCCCGGTGGCTCCTGGAGGTATTGCAGCACCCCTGTATACTCTCGCGGCTGCCCACTCTCCTGCACACACATTCTGTCCTTTGTCATTCCTATGCTTTCTGAATTTTCCTCTCTGAATCCATCCCCAGTGCTTAGCTCTGCTTCCAGGGGCCCTTGGTCCTTGAGGTCAGCTGGTAAATGCTCAGCTTGTCTGTGGCCGTCCTCGCCCTTGTTTCTCTTCCTCTCCCAGCTGCCCTTTCCAGCTAGGCTGACTGTCCTCCAGCGCTTTCTTCCAGCTAAAAATGATCTCTTTGGCCCCAGGAATCGCACCAGGCACTCGCACTGGGGGAATCCCAGTTTCGACCAGCTGACAGGCAACGTGGAAGGGAAGTTCCTCAAGCAGACGCGAAATAGAAAACTTTTGGTTGTTTCTCAGTTCTCTCACTGTCGGTCACTTGAACTCTGGAATCTTTAAAAACTTTACAAAAGGAAAGAAACAGACTCTGTGTGAAGGAAGTCAGAGAAGGCTTTGGAAAATTCATGTGCCGTAACGCACGAGAAAGAATTTTGGTCTCTCTTTAGATAACAGAGCCTCGTCTTGTGGTGCGTTTGTGTGTTACCTCTTTTCCATCAGCTATTGTTGTAGGATCTCTGCTGCTGCCCCTGAGCCAGAAACTTGAAGACCAACCACCTTGGAAGCTTTATTCTACCCTGGAGCTCAAGGCTGACACGTGGGCCTGTCCGATGGCAGCGAGTCAGTGGCTCCTGTGTCCCCACTGTGCCCTTGCCCTCGCTGACGTGAAGGTGGCTGTGAGCACCCCTGCTTCAGTTTCTGCGCGCTTCCGCACCCAGCTGCCATTCTCTTTCGCTGGTGTCCAATCACTCGACCTGCTCTGAGCCTTCCTTGTGCCTGGGCCTCTGTGTAGTCACACGGCCCGCACAAGACCACAGTTCTGTCCCACCTTCCTCGTACTAGACAGACCGAGGCCACGTGTGTCTGCCTCCCGTGGGCATGAACACTTTCACCCTGGTCCTCTCTCCGTATGAGATCCGATCAGAAAGCACTAGGTTTAAATGTTTTAGGAAAGTGTACTGTAGTAAGACCCATTGCCACGATGGCCACTCAAAATACCGTTTACTTCGGACACTTGCCCTATTGTCCTTGCCACTTTGTGCAGCCGTTCTGGAAGTCCTCTTTTGTGAGTATCTTTTTGGCATTGCTGTTGTAGCTGCCTCTGTGTCCTGAATGGATTCAAAATATTTTTCTTTTATGGTTATTTTGACTTCAGGCAAGAGCCGGAAATCACATGGTTCCGGGTCTGGTGAATACAGTGGCCGCGGACGCACTGTCACCTTTTACGAGCCTGCCTTTCCCTTGAGTGGCACTCTAGCAACACTCACGGTGTTTCTGGTCATTCCTCATAAAGAAACTCATGAAAGAGCACTTCCAGAGCTGCTCCAGGAAGTAGTCAGGACAATGGGATAAGCCTCAGCCTTCAGGGAACAAGGGGAAGGATCTGGGGTGGGCAAGGGTGGGCAGGGGCCAGGCTCAGCCCTGGTTTCTCTGGGAAGGTTGGAGGTGGCGGATGGTGGCAGGAAGTGATGGGGGCAGAGGTGAGGACCTTGAGACTCATGCTGGGGGACAGAGTCGCTGCAGACCCCAAGGCAGGCAGAGCCCAGCGGGGTACCTACACCTAGCCCTCACTTCATTCTGCGTCACAGGAGTTGAGTCATTGCTCCCAGTCTCCAGGCATTGCTTGTGATGTTCGCGTGCCCCGGCTCACTGATTTAGTGCCTCCGGCTTAAAATTTATTTTCTTGGGGCCGGCCAAATAGCTCAGTGGATTAAAGCATCTGAAAGCAGGCACAGGGGCCAGGGCCTGCCATGCCAGCCCTGCCCCTGGAGTGTGCTGAGATGGCAATTGAGACTGGGTATGGTGGCGCGTGCCTGTAATCCCAGCTCTTTGGAGTCTGTAAACAGGTGGATCACTATGAGTCCGATCTAGTAGCAAGACCCTGAACACCCTGTAGACCCTTCCCTAAAACACAAAAGAAGAAATAAATTTCTTATTAAGATTAGATTTTTTTAAAGAAAGAAACTCTATGTTACTCCCACTTACAGAAAATTTATAGCAATTTCTTGAAATACACACACGTGCATGCCCGAATGAGAAATAGCAGATGCAGAGCTCTTTGGGGCTGATGGGCCGGCTCCCTTTGCTGTGTTTGGAAATGCCTGGCTTCTTACTGGAATCATGCAGCATGTGCTGAGGCAGGGTCCTCCTGGCTGCGCTGTGCCTGCAGCGGACATGGATACCCGGCTTCCTTCCCGATTCAGATGTGTGACGTTTCTTCACCGGCACTCCAAGAGTCACTGGAATAAAGGTTCTCCGCGTCGAGAAACACACATAACATTTTTGTCTTTTGAACCAGAATGGAAAAGTCCTCTCTGGGGAAAAGAGCGACTCGATCCTCGTGGACGACATTTACGACTACCACCAGGGCACATACGTGTGTGACTATGCGCTGTCACCAAACGCCAGCTCCTGGATAGCCAGAGCCGTGGTCCACGTGAGAACCATCGGTGAGTGGGATGGACACGCGCCGGGGCTGGCCAGTGAGGGCCTGCCTCGATCCTGCCTCGATCCTGCCTCCTTCCGTGGAGAACGGGCAGTCAGGCACGGCGAGCCAGGGCCTGCCCCTGGGAGACGCAGCCTGTCCCGGTGCCCGCTGGCCACAACAGGCTGAGCTGACCACTTTGCAGTGAATTTAAGGACACGTTAACTGTGTCACCCACGAAGCACTGACTCCCGTGTACTCATCACCCCGTTAGCAAGTGGGACTATTTTCCCACATGCTCAAAATCCGTTTTGTTTAAGACAAACAAAACGTTGAAGTCACAACATGGCAGTCTGTGTCCCCGCAGTGGTCGGACCTTCCTGCCTTACGTGGCCACAGCGGTGTGGTTTGTGCTCCTCACACTGCTGCTTTTCACCCTCTAACCACAGGCCTGTCCACTAAAGGGACAGAAGGCTACTTTGTGCTGTGAAGTGTGTTTGGGCCACGAAAGGCAGCACTGGAGGAAGGTATTACCCTCACTATGGATGGATTTCCATTATTCCCAAACACAGTCATATTTGCCTTATCAGACTCTTTGATTAGTGCCAGTTACCTTCCCTTCGTTTCTTTTTTTTTCTCTCTCCCTCCTTCCTTCCTTCCTTCCTTCCTTCCTTCCTTTTTTCTTTTCTTTTCTTTCTTTCTTTCTTTCTTTCTTTCTTTCTTTCTTTCTTTCTTTCTTTCTTTCTTTTTTTTTTCTGGAACTGGGGATTGAACTCAGGCCCTTGCGCTTGCCAGGGAAGCACTTATTCTGAGCTATCTCCCTGGTCCCCTTCCTTCCTTTTTCCCCTTTCCCTCTCTTCTCCTCTTTTTTTCTCTCTCTTTCTTTCTTTCCTTCCTTCCTTCCTTCCTTCCTTCCTTCCTTCCTTCCTTCCTTCTTTCCTTCCTCCTAATTCATACCTCCTTGATTAATAATGAAATGCAAGGCCTTGTCCTTTCTTATTCCCCTACTGGATTTCTTCTTTGCGGCCTTAGTCTAATTCCACCTCAGCTTTCCCTGTTGGTTTTCTTCACTAGACCTACAAGCACTAATGAATAATGAGATGCAATTGATTTAAGCAACAGTTATGTGGTTAGCCTAAGCATGGGCTGTGGGTGGACACCTGACAAGGCAAGGTGCTCAAGCCTTGTGTCCAAGAGCCTTGGAGTGTGAGCTCCGCTCTTACTAAGGACAGCTGTCGGCTTAACCTCCCTTTCCTGCAAGACGCAGGTGCACCAGGGGCAGAAGACCGAGTCCAGTGCAGGGGTCCCTTCCCGGCTCATGTCCTGCCACTTCTGATCTCAGCCCTCTCACTGTTATCAGTGTTCCTTAGAAGAGTACAGATGGGAGTTTCCTTCTCGTGACGTTGTCTCTCCCAAGCGAATTCATCACTCACCAATCAGCTCCGCGCAGGGTCCCTGGCAGGGTGGGCTTCTCTCCTCTCAGGGACCGTGTGGCGTCTGCTGCACCTGCCTCAGTCCAGCCCACTGTGCACCAGCCCTGTATCCTCATCACCCCTCACTCTAGCATTCCTTTGTTCCCACATGGATATTCTGTGAGCTCCTAGCACTTGTCAGGCCTGCAGCTAAGGATCTGAGAATCAGGCTGCAGACGCCTGCCCTGGCCTCGGGGGTCTCTTCACTGTGGGGCAGGCAGACCATAAGAGAGAGATCACAGTGCTGTGCAGTGAGAGAAGGGGGCAGAGGCCACTGGAGCCAAGCCGCGATCCAGGTCCCAGGAGGCCCTGGGCACTGAGGACGAGTGAGCCCGGAGGGGCATCGCAGGCAGGGCAGGCTGTGCTGCCGTCCAGGAGATGCCAGTGTACAGTGCAGGAAGACTGTGGGCTGCTGTTCTGAGGAGTGTGGAGTTTTATCCAGGGCCACCGAGGAGCCCCTGAGGGCTATCGGCAGGGGAGTATCCCGCACAGACTCAGTCAAGGTGGGTCACTCTGCTTGCTATGTAGAAAGTGTTTCTGAGAGCAAGGATCGGGGTGGGGTGAGCTCAGAGTTGACAGTGGTCACAGAGGCAGCTTCTGAGGGGCACCCAGTCAGAGAGGGGAGCGGAGGTGGAGAGAAGTGGATGGACCCCAGAAATGGAGGGGGTGTCCCACAGGATGAGCAGGCTGGGCATGGAGAAGAGGGGACAGGACAGGACAGGGTGAAAGGCGGGCACTGGCTTGGGCAAGCGGGTGCTGTCGGTGGTTCAGGCTCTTCAGCGATGTCCAGGGCTGCGCTGTGAACAGGCAGCGGAGCAGATGCGCCATGGCTGAGTCCACGAGCTGACAGAACACCGGATGGCTTTTATGCAGAATATAAGCAGTAGGGCGACCAACTGGCAAATGGCGACACTACTGGGTACGCTCGAAGGAGTGTGGAGCGAGCCCAGGGAAGACTTCTAGTTGTCAACGTCAGGCAACAGGGAGCGCTTGGCTCCACCCATCTGCAGACCCTGGGGCAGGGGCAAGAGCAGGGGAATCATCTCCTTTCTGAGATATCTAAAGCCAAGCAGCTGGGTGGGGTCACCCAAGTGGCACTGAGAGTCGCCTAGAACCAGCTCTGGAGTTTCTCCAGCACTTGGTGGTGTGGCAAAGAGGAGGAAGGTCCCAAAGGAGATGGAACAGGACACTCTGGGCACCCATGGGGTGGGAGGAGTGAGGCGGGTGGTGTGGTAGAGGCAGCTGTGGGAACCAAAGCCTTATGCAGGGAAGAGGCCTGCGGTGAAGCTTGTCCCACCCAGGGAGACCAGGGCGAGCCACAGAACTCAGGGGAGCGGACTGAGGTTGCCCCAGGCACGGAGGGAGAGGAGCCTGCAGGGACGCAGGGAAGGGGAGATGGAGGTGGAGGGGCGGAAATGTGGAGCCAGGGCAGAAAGGGTGCTGAAGAGGATGCGGCCAGCCACGCAATGTGCAGGGTGGTCCTGGTGGATCTCGGTGCAAGAGCACCCTGGGGCCTCGGATCAAAGCAGTTTCCTGGGGAAGATGGGGGAGAAGTCAGACTCCAGGGAGGTGGGGGATGGAGGAGGGAGTGCTGCATCCTTCACGCATTTGGTTGGGAAGGAAGGAAAAATGCTTGAGGCAGGATGTAAACCGAGGGTTCATTCTTATTTTAAAGATAGGAAGGAAGACCAATGGACAAATGCTCATGCCCAGAAGAAGAGAGAGGAGAGGAATTACAACTAAAGGAGGGAGAGGGAAGGAAGGAGGGTGGGAGGGAGACTTGAAACAATAGAGATGGGATGAGAGAGAGACAGAGACAGAGACAGAGAGAGACAGACAGAGACAGAGACAGAGAGAGACACAAACAGACAAGGAGACAAGGAGAGAGACAGAGAGAGATAGAGAGAGAAAGAGACAGAGAGAGACTGAGACCTCAGCTGTCCTTTGGTGAGGAGATAGGACGCACTCAGAAGGAAGCCCAAAGGGGGAGCACATTTGACAGTTTGTGGCTAGAAGCTGAAGGACATTTATCACATGGGTTTTCCCTCTGAGGGGTGACTCAGCCGAATGGCACCAAAAAGCAATGTTGTAGCATTGCAGGAGAAGATGAAGATAGTGGTTGCAGTCTGCAACGGGTGGGCAGATTGGTGAGAAGCGACTTCCGGGTGGCTGTGACACAGGCTCATCAGTGACGCTTCCCTGGCACTGTCAGCCGCTTACCCAGGTCATTACAGGAGCTAGGATCTACACACGGAAACCTGTGTCCCTAGATTGCAGGATTATGGATTGAATTTGAAGAAACAGCATTGAACATTTAGACCCAAATGCTGACGTTGTTGTCCCCAATTCCTCAGCAAGTGGGTTTTCAGATTTCTTGATTCAAACAATGATTTTTTAAATTTTCTTCTTTTAGTGGCTGACACCAAGTTCAAACCAGACATCGTGTACCCAACCCAGGATGTCCTGGAAGTAGAACTTGGTAAGTGGGCATCAGGTGTCACCTTGAATGGTGCCGCCCTTCCAGAAGCTGGTCTGAGAGTGACAACAGAGCTGACCTTCAAGTACAATAGAACTGGCTGCGGTTCAGCCCTAACTAACCTTGGGCCTTGAACGGTTTCGGATTCCTCCTCGGCTCCAGCCATTAGTTTTGTCCCTGGGTGTCACAAGATTGATTGTGGGCTGTTATTCTGATGGGACAATCAATATGCAGTCACATGACTGGTAGATTTGGGGCTCTCCCAGGAAGACCCGGCTGTACTTCTTGGTTGTCTCAGTCTATTTACCAACTTGGGTAGCTTCTACCCTCTGAATATGTGGTCTGGTCTTTGAGGAACTTCACTGGAATACCGGAAGCTCCACGCAAATTCCAGATAGTGCGCTTGCTTGGGCAGCGTGGAAGTCGACCCCGTGTGGGCTCCTTTCATCTGTCAAGTTCAGCAGCATTTACGTCTTTCCCCATAGCCAGGTAGGAAGGGATGGATTAAACACTAAATGGCGATTTCTGTTTTCTTTCAGTATGTGTGCTTTTCAGTGTTAATGTAAGAGTTATTATTGTGGAAGGATGTATAAAACAAGCATCATGATACAGATTTCACCAGATAAGGGGACTAGCTGTACCGATCCAGCCAACACCGGAAGAGTGGGGCAGCATCCGTTCCGTTCATTGCCTGTTTGCTGATTGGGTCATTTTTTGTGGGAGGGGAGAGGCGTTCAGTCCAGCCATAGAGAAGAATGAAGTCAGGTCTTTGCAGGACAACGGATGGCTCCTGAGGCAACAGCATCAAGTGAGATAAGTCAGACGTGAAAAGCTAAGTGTGGGATGCTTTTGCTCACATGGAAAACCCCAAATATAAATAAATGGAAGAGAAAAATGAGGCAGGGATGATGGCTAGCAAGGAGTGAGGGTGTGGAGGTAGAAAGAGGAGACGAGGGTGCGGGAGAAGGGAGAGACAAAGGCGGGGAAAGGGCCAAGATGGGCACCAGGCTCCCATGGACGTAGCAGTCGTGCACCGGAAGCACACTCTAGCAAGATTAAAGCTGTAGAGAAAGTTGGAGGAAGTTAGGACAACAGAAGGGTCACAACATGTGTAGCCCAGTTGCATGTGGTACGAACGAACCTCAGAGATGTACCAGTGGAGCGTTCTGATGAGTCCTCACGAACGAACCTCAGAGATGTACCAGTGGAGCGTTCTGATGAGTCCTCACTTTGTGAGATACGACAACGCTTGCTTTTCAGGATGCACGCTTCCCAAATCTCCCAGTCACGTGAATACACCAGCAAGGACTCCACATTGATCGTCCCATCAGAACAATAGCCCACAATCGATCTTGTGACACCCAGGGACAAAAATAATGACTGGAGCTGAGGAGGAACCGACCTGTTCCAGAATAGGCTGAGGCAGGGCACATCTGGGTAACCCTTGTAGAGAAGGGTGGAGGGGGCAGGCTGACAGCACGCCGTGGACTCTGCTCATGAGAACAGCGGAGTGTAACATGATTTCCTTACTACATGCAACAGTGACCTTGTGGTTTCATTCAGCATGCAAACATGGGCTCCTAAAATGTTCCCTGGGGGTGCTCCTGGTACCTCAACAGTGGTGCTGTGGGTCTGGCTGGTCCCTGAAACGGCCTATGTCCTAGTGTCTCGCCTGGCCCCATCAGGACCGTTGGATATGACCTTGTTGACCTTCCTGCTGACCTCATACAGTCACATGTTGGAGACACAGACTTGCCCACAGGAGTCTTGCCCACAAGAGACGAGTAACCAGGGCTTCTGGGTCTGTGAATGGGGTGGGCCAGGGTTCGTTATTCCGGTGGCCCCATCTCAGCCGCATACTTGGCCATGTCAGAAACGAGCCCGTGGTCACACCTGCCTCCCCATTCTGACACTGAGCGTTCTCACGTGCTTCCTTCCTGTCTCCCTGACCTCCTCCTCTTCAGGAAAACCTTTAACTCTTCACTGTGCTGTTCGATTTGGCTTCCAGCGGGACTTCAACCCAGTGATAAGGTGGTACATCAAGGACGCAGACCGGGAGTGGGGATTCCCAACATTCCAGGAAAAAAGGTGAGAAAAACCTCCAGGAACTTTTGCTTTAGTAACAGCCTAGCAGCTTTCAACCCGAGAAACCAGCAGAATACACCCGGAGTGGATTATGTGCGGCGAGCTCACCACTGGCACCAACCAGCTGTGAGAGTAGACACAGAACGGCAGTGTGCATGTGAATATTAACTCTGAGGGCCGCAGGGCTTCGCCTGGGGCTGTGGGCCAGGCATGACGGTGTCCCCTAAGATGACCTCATGCAGACCTGGCAGAGCCACCTCAGATCTTGCTAAGCACACTTTGATGTCCCCATGATGCAGTCAACTCAGAGCCTGTCACCAGGCCATGCAGGGCTGTGTTAAAGCGTTCCTTTACTTGCATCTGCGTTTGGTTGCTTTTTGCGCTGCCTTAAAAATCAAGTTATCCATGCTGGGTGTGGAGGCGCACACCTGTAATTTCAGCACTCAGAAGGCTGAATGAAGCAGGAGCAAGTTCAAGGCCAGCCTGGGGCATGAAGTGAGTTCCCACCCAGGCTGGGCTACATAGCCAGATCCAGTCTCAAAAACTTAAAGAAAATTTTAAAAAGGAAAGAAGAAAGGGAGGAAGAGATATAAAGGAAGGAAAGAAGGAAGGAAGGCAATCCAGCTGCCCAGCTGCGCACCTCTGGGCCGGAAACAGCATGTCCATGCCCAACAGGTGGTAGGCGCTCACGCCCCGCCTCCTGGTCTCAGCAGTGCCGCACATTCCACGTGCCTCGGCTCGGGGACCCAGACTCACAAAACACAAGTAGACTGGAAAGCCCCCAGGGAAGGAGTGCCTGATACAGAGTCTGGTCAAAACAGTGCAGGAACCACAGTGGAAGCCACTTCTCTGGCCAGAGGAGACGGGGCTGTCTGTCTCGGGGAGCTCCTCTGTCTCGTGAGGAATGAGGCCTCGCTGACGGATGTCTGCAGCATAATAGTCGGGTCAGCAAGTGGGATTGAGGGGGGGTTAAGTCAGAGGAGAGTGGGGAGCTCCAGGCACTCAGAGCCCCCTGAGCCCTGAGCTCTTCAGCCATTCTCTGAGGGGACGGTAGCCGTGGATCCATTTGGGTCCAGCCAGGTGGGTCAGCGAAGCGGGCGTCCTTGCGTTTACCCAAGGTCTGATCCCAAGCAGGAATCTACGTAGTACGTAAGCATCTTCTAATTTCTCAGACATTTCGATGAACACATGCAATATCGTTCTGAAAAGCGTGCGTTGTCATATCTCACGAAGTTCAGGAAAGGCTTTGGCAAGAACGAGCACCTCGAGCAAGGGCCTGCGTGCGTGCCCAGGGAAGCCGCTGCTCCCGTCTTGAGCAGAAGCTGCTAGAACGCTCAAGTCGGCGGGCGCGCGATGGGGGCTCCTTCAGGCCGCCTCAGCCCGCGGACGGCAGCCTCCACGCTGCAGGGCCCTGTCAGGAGAGGAGGAGGAGGGGTGACATGCTCACCCCAGTCCAGGGCAGGTAGGAAACGCTGGGGCACAGAAGCTGGTGTACAGCTCACAGCAGTGCAGCCCTGGAACATCACCCACATCACCCACACATGCAGAATTTCTAACCAGGGCGCAGGTGATTTTATAGAACTCAAATTGTGCCTGTCGCCAAACGCCCCCCCCCCCCATTTCACGGACGGGGCCGCAGAGTGTGGGTCTTCCTGCAAGTACAAGCTAAGGGCCTCTTTCTGAGTCCCCTGTGTCACTGGCCTGGTCGAGACACTCCATTATTCCTGTGTGGAGTTTATGTGAAGTGGACAGCGCAGGAGATTAGAGTTCATTTCCAGTTCTCAGGAGAGTCAAGGACACAGTAGACCCTGGGCAGGAGGGAGCCACCTACGGTGACTGCTGCTGTCTGTTCTCAAGGGAATTCTGAAGAGTGAGGAGAGCCAGGAAGGGCCATAGGTAGACGGCTTAGGGTCTAGCTCAGCAGTCAGGAAGTCAGGCACGGTGGCCAACTCTGCCCACCTTGGTTCGTCTGCTGTCTTCAGAGGCTACAGATCCCATGGCCCCGAACACTGGCCCTTGGGTGCTTCCCTCCTCACATTAACTTTCCCTCCTTCCCTAGTATTAAGTCTACTTTTGAGGAGGAGGTCATCGAGTGTGTTGTCTTCTTGAAGGAAGTCACGTGGCGCGAGCTGGGGTGCAAGTTTGTGTGCTTTGCCCAGAACTCTGTGGGCAACGTGACCCAGACCATCCGACTGAAGGAGAAGAGAGGAGGTGAGCCGACGCTGGAGGGCACAAGCCCTTCGCTGCATGGGGTGGCATTTCCCTGAGGTGAGTGACAAGGACACCCCACCTTTTACCCACCGACTTGCCCTCTGAGCCTGTAAACATGTTTTCTAGGTGCTGGACTCTGCATAAGCCCTCTGCTGTGTTAACCCAGGTAGTCCTTGTCCAAGGCCCTGGAGCTGGTAGAGTCGTGGCTCAGACCTGCACCTCGTAACTAATGCTCTGCAGAGCGCCCGCCGCTCATCCCCCCCCCTCCTGCAGCCACACTCCTGTTCTGCTGGCACGCAGCTGCCTCGGCCCCTCCCCTGCCTCCTGACTGCTGGGCAGCACGGCGAGCTGCTGTTCCCGAGTGTGGAGAACAGCGAAGGGAAGGGGTCTGCTTGCACAGTGTGCAGAGTGATGCACGCACAGCACAGATCTTAGCCGTGTGAAGAGCTGGAGTGGAAGCTCAAGCACAGAGTGGCTGTTCAGTGTCTCTATGACGATGTCCAGAGAGGGGGTGGGCATTCACCCCACCACCTAAGTAGTAGCTGACCACGACATATATGGCCACGAGTGTTTGCCAGGCTTCAGTAAGCCCGAGTGTGTGCCTGGACTCTCGTGGATGCTCTTGGAGACGCTTCTCTCGGTGGAGCTTTGTAGCCACCTTGCTGTAGCAGATGTGCTGGGTGCCACGGTGGGCCACACATGGCCTCTGGTCTCAGGAAGTGTCCATTTAAGTAAGGATGGGAAAATATAAAATAATTTATGATATGCACTGAGAAGGATGCAAATGGGTTGTTTTGAAGTTATAGATTATGGGCCACACATGGCCTCTGGTCTCAGGAAGTGTCCATTTAAGTAAGGATGGGAAAATATAAAATAATTTATGATATGCACTGAGAAGGATGCAAATGGGTTGTTTTGAAGTTATAGATTATGAATAATAATAAAATGACTGTGATAGACATTTCAGGTCACCCCAACCAGGAAGTGACTACTCCCCCAAGCTCTTTAATGCTGATGGTAGACAGTTCCCAGTAGACTTAATTGAGATGCTTCCAATAGCAGTGATGGGTGAGAATAGGGAAGGGAGAGGTGGTAGGAGGCCCACAGCGCCACCCGCGCTGGTCACGGCCTGCGGCGGCCTCTGCAGGCTCTCAGCCACTGTGTCTCCCCAGGGGTGCTCCTGTATGTCCTGCTCGGCACTGCCTCCACCCTGGTGGGCCTGTTGGCAGCTGGCGTCCTCGTCTACACCTACTGGATCGAAATCCTGCTGCTGTGCCAGATCTACCAGAGCAAGGACGAGACTCTTGGGGGTAAGGACATCCTGCTTGTCACCCACTGACTTCCCCTCTGAGCCCACAGACAAACAAGACAGTGCGGTCACTGCCCACTGGCTCTGCTTCTTGGAATTACACTGGGAAAAGATTTTGGGTCCTCCTGCTGTGGGGGATGAGTGTAAGGGAGCTCAGGACGGGCGCTCCTGATGGGACGTTGCCCTCCTGGGGCTTGGAGTCGTCTGTGTGGCAGCCTCTTGCCGCGACAGATGGGGAAATAGCTTTTTGCTTTATTCCACTGACCAACAGTCCTGTAGCTGGTGCTCCTTTGGGGCTGGTGGGACTTTAAATAAGCTTTCTGCTCTGCCCTCCAGCAAGCTGACAAAAGCACACCCAGCCCCAGACAGCTCAGCTGCCTCGTAGGATTGGGGCAGCGCCTGTACAGACAGAGGCCACCGGAGCTCCTTGGGAGAGACACAGAGCTAAGCTTTCCAGATGGCGTCTCTGCATCTAGGCAAGCTCAGCTGGTGCCAGCAATGGTTATTTGTTGGGGACTCCGGTGCACGCCCAGTATATACATTATCTTCTGCAAGTGTCCCAGCCACCCTGACTCGTAGGCAGAGAAAGGTGAAGTCACAAGCCTAGAGCTGAACCCCGGAAGACATTGGGGCTGGACTTCGGAGCAGGGTCCTGTGGGTTAGGGGAGTGGAGGGAGCCCCGAGGAATGCCAGGGCCCTTACTGTTAGGAGTGCTGAAGCTTAGGGGCAAGAGAGGAAACAACGCTCATTAACATGGAGCTTCCGGACCAGAAGAGGGCCATTGTTTCTGTTTGTTTGTTTTTTCTCGTCCTGGGCTTTCCAGGACAAAATATCTGCAGTTTTAATGCACGGTTTTGTTACTTGGGAGACAGCAGAGCACAAGGAGGGACCAAGCAAGGCGTCAAGACTTGGGTTCAGTCCCGGCAGCAAGACAATCAAACGATCCCCCAAACCCCAAAGCAGAGCCAAACACGCCACAGCAGCCAGACAACAAGTCGGCTGTGTTTTTCTGTGGACCAGCTACTGAGTTCACACTCTGGAACTGGAGCTGTTTTGGGTTTTTTTCTTCTTTTAAAAAAATAGTTGGCTTTTTTTTTTTCTTTTTTTCCCGTGCAGCAGAACCCTGTGTCTAGCTGGCGCCCCGCTGCCTCCGGGTGACTCCTCACTTCTTCCTCAAGGTCGTTTGTCTCTAGGCTCCAGACGTGTGGAGGAGCGGCACCAGCTGTGGGGCCAGCAAGCGCCCCCTCTCCTACCACGCTCAGGGCTCTTCGCTTGCTTCTCTCTTTACCAGCAGACAAATGAAGGCTGAAGCGCAACGCTTCCCTCGCGGTCAGACATTTAGCTGCCTAAATTCTCATTTTATACAGCTAAAGAGAGTTTTCATGAGTACATGTTTACAGCACAAGATTACATGACCGGTGAATGTTGTCACTCCTTTTAACGCCCGCACGCCACCACCTTTCCGATAGGAAAAACACATTTTGGCAATCAGATCTGCAACCCCAGCGCACCTCGGTTTTCAGGTGCAGCGCCACACTACCCTCTGCTGGTCAGCTTGAGGTTTGCAGCAAAATGAAAGCTTTGGAGCAAAGGTTGAGTATCCAGGGTCATTTTGTTTTTGTTTATTTTTATTTTTTATTTTTTCCATAATTTTATTGAGTAATAAATAGCAATGAGACAGTTTCAAATGAAATTGGTAGGACAGTTTCAATAATTAACACATTGCATACTGTCTTCCTAGTGGTTGTTGTACAAGATGTAGACCTGATACTTATTTACAAACACTACTAGAACAAATCCCTCTATTCATTGAATTAAGAGAATGGGGCTTTTTATCTATCCTAACCATCTTGAATACACAGATAAAAAATGGTCATTCATCTGTGTCCCCTTTCTTTGTTCAGTTCTGTCATTTAAATATTATAGTCCAGGGTCATTTTGGAGAGACCACGCAGGCTAGAATTGTGGAAGACTTCAGCGGTTTGGTTTCCAGGGTGCTGGGGCTTTGCGTGGGGATGGGAGGGATGGGACTTGCTGTGTGCCTTAGACGGCTCACACACTGCAGCGCTGTCTGACGTCACCGGGAGCTCATGCCCCAAGTGTCCTGCCTCAACCCAGGTGTGCTTGCAGACAGAGTTCTAGCCTGAGCTCCAGGCATCCGTTCAGGAACTACAATGAGGACACAGTGCGAATAGCTGGCATTTATATCGCTCTTCTTGCTCAGATAAAAAGGAATTTGATGCCTTTGTGTCCTATGCGAAGCAGTGCGCTTCAGGGAGTGAGGCCCCTTCACATGTCAGCGAGGAGCGCCTGGCCCTGAACCTGTTTCCTGAGGTCTTGGAAAACAAATACGGATTCACCTTGTGTTTGCTGGACAGAGATGTGGCCCCTGGGGGAGGTAGGTCCTGCCTTTGCTTAGGGAGCGACCCGTGACCCACGGCACAGAGAGCCTGGAGTGAAAAAAGCATAGCAACCCCCTTAGGAGGCCGTTCAGAACTCAGCACAGGACCACACAGGCTCAGCTGGAGCGGCCCTTGTGGCCTTCCAGCCACAGTCTCTTTGTTGAACCCCTGCTCCCCAGGCCATGTGGGGTGCACAGGACCCTCATGGTTCAGCCTGCCCAGCTCCAGTGAGCTCAGCTCCTAGAGAAACTGGGGACACAGAACACAAGGGGGGCAGCTTGAAACTGAGAGGCACTGGCGCGGACCCTTACCAGTGGGTAGAGCTGACACAGTACAGGTGGCAGAATGGGAAGCAGAGAGGGAGGGGAGGTGCTGGGGACAGGAACACACTCTTCTATGTCTTCTTCCTTCTGCGCCTAAGAGCCTTGTAGAGCCCTTCTGGTCCTTATTGCAGCCCAGGAAGTTAGTATTTGCAGCCACATGGAAGTTATTGGGATTCTAGTGAGTGGATTCCAGTCTACCAACCAGTACAACCCTGTAACAAGAATAACAACATTAAGGCATATTTGTAGCTTTGGGCCCCAGCAGGCCCTAAGTCCAGCCACGACGATGGCTTCTGGAACAAAGGCTTCGACCCAGGGACGAACCTGGATTTTATTCATTTGTGAAGAAGGGAGTGGCTTGAGGATGAGTAACCTTGAGCGTGGTGGGAAGTGGGTGAGTGCCCGGAGCTGGGCCCGGCGGGAGGACTGAGGTCACCTCTGCAGTCTGCAGGGAGAAGGACATGCAGAAGGAGGACTTTGTATGACACAACTGAGAGTGTCCACTGTTTTGGGGTCTGGTGCTTCAGCTCTGATGTGTGATCCTTCAGGCCCCAGGAGGTCATAGCCCCTAATTTTAGGCTCCTCCCAGCTGACAGCATGGAACACTGGCCCTTCATCCTGGCTTACACAAAGCGACAATGGGTGGGGGTCCGGGGAGACACTGCCTGCCATCTTCAAAGACTACACATCAGCACCTTGGCTGGACCCATGTGCACTGCTTACAGCTGGTTGAAGGGGCAGGGAAAAGTCCTGGCCAGCTGTGTGCAAGGCAGTACATAGACACAGGGTCAGGTTCAGCCAAAATGGAGGCAACTGCTCCCCCTCCAAGGAGTCGCCCAGGCGGTCCTCCACAAGATTCATTGTGGGGGCCCTGGGCTGCACCCCAGACATCCAGGCTCCTGTGAATTGAGGGTTAACCATCTCAGTTGCTGATCAGTGTCATTATTTTTATCTCCAGTGTATGCAGAAGACATTGTGAATGCCATTAAGAAAAGTCGAAGAGGAATATTTATCCTGAGTCCCAACTACATCAATGGACCCCAAGTCTTTGAACTTCAAGCAGCAGTGAATTTGGCCTTGAGTGACCAAATGCTAAAACTCATTTTAATTAAGTTCAGTTCCTTCCAAGAACCGGAGTCTCTACCTCCTGTCGTGAAGAAAGCTCTCAGAGTTTTGCCCACCATCACTTGGCGAGGCTTGAAGTCAGTTCCTTCAAGTTCGAGGTTCTGGGCCCAGGTGCGCTACCACATGCCTATGCGGCATCCGAGGGGGCGCGTGGGGCGCTGGCTGGGGGCCATCCTGCAGACCTTCTCTCTGGAAAGGACTAGATGGATCAGGAACTGCTGCAATGAGCTCACAGTCTAGGGAGCCGGGCCTCGCCGCCACGGGAACCTGGGTGTGGGGAGGAGCAGCAGGCGGGCCTGGAGAGGGCTCAGGGCAGACAGTGTCTTCCTCCTGCCAACCTGAGCAGGCAGGGAAGCCCCCACGAGGACACCGAAGCTGCTATTCAGGACCTCTGATGTCCCGGCTGGGAGGAGAGAGCGACTCCTCGGAGCACCTCCTGCCTCAGCTGCAGGCCTGTGTGCTGCAGCGAACTTTGGACAGAGCTGTGCCTTCTCTGGTCAGACAAATATCATGGCACCAGACAGGAGTGGCGGAACTCTGCTCGGAGCCTCACATTGTTTAAACTTTTATCGGTGCGCATGTGCGGGGCAGACCTCTGTGCCTGTGTGGAGCTGGTGCACACTGAGCCCACCTCCCGCCATTTCCCACCCACCCTGTCCCCCAGCTCTGGATCCCGGCCCACCAGGCCAGGCTCCCTTTCCCTGCTCCCTGTGAGCTCTCTTCTACTTTCTCTTTATTTATCCTTTGGGTCTCCACATAGGAGAGGCCATGTGAAATCAAAGCCCATGTTTCTGACTTGTGTCACTCAGCATTATGGTCTCAAGGTGCAGCCATTTGGCCCGAATGACTCCAGCTCGTCCTTCTTCACGGCAGAGCAGTGCACCAGGGTGTGGAGTGCCCTGTTTTCCCGTCTGCTGACGGACACAGGCAGCTTCCAAGCTCAGCTACAATGAGCGAGCGTGGCTCACTCAGGAAGATTCCGTCTTCCGCAGGAAGAACAGCCCCCACCAAGCCCAGGTGTCACACGCCTGGCGGGCCTTGGGGACGACCACGGTGCAGTGGTGAGGATGTAGATCCGGCGGCCGCTGTGCGTGGAAGGCAGCACGGACAGTCCTTGGCTACTGAGCTAGAGGCCAAGCCCAGCTGCCTTGCTCTCCCCGTTCTGCGCACCATCCCACTTGGCGTTTCCAGAGCTGCGTTCCTGGTCCACACTGGGATGAGAAGGGAGTGAAGGCGAGAAGTGGCGGTGCTCCGGGCCAAGCGGCGACAGGGCTGTGTGAGTCCCTGCGGGTCCCTGCTGAGCCCAGAGTGCGCCCAGAGAGGCGTCTTCAGCAAAGCACGGCGCCTCGGCCTCACGTCCTGCTGAGTGCCCTGCACGCTGCCCAGGCCTGGCCCACCGCCTCAGCACTCCGGGGCAGAGGGGACCGAGCTGCTCCAAGCGCACAGCCTCTGTTTGCTGCGTGCAGGTGCAGGCGTGGTTTCTACCCAGCCTGTGGCTTCCACAACACACAGGAAAGGTGAAGAAGCCCCCAGGAGTGGGAGACATCGTGGACAGGAAGCCTGCTTCTGGTCACCCAGCCGCAGAGCAGGGAGGCCCAGGCTCCGGTCCTCTGGTCTCCTTCACAGAGCCTCCGTGTGTGACCTTGCTCGGCGGGCACTGGGCCCCCGCGATTATTCTGGGGGAAGACAGGGAGGACTGGCTGCTTCATGCATGCTGGAGAGGTGGGAGGGAGACACTGATCCAGACAGGCACACCCAGCGAAAGAAAAGCAGGGGGATGGAGCCAGCAGAGGCTGGGGCCTGAGCTGTCTGCCTGCGGACCCCGGCCGGCCTCCGCGTGGGCGGGCCCCAGCCTTCAGTCCTCCTAGGTAGCAGGGTGATGCGCTGGAGGCCAAGGCCTTGCTCCCGATAGGTGAGGCTGTTTCCGCTGCTGTGTCTGCCTTCTAAGTTCTGCCTACAGCCAGAAGAGCGCGCGTTCCTGCTCCGAGGACAGTGACCTTCATCCACCTTGGCTCTGGATGGGCCGGGCTGGGCTGGGCTGAGTGGGAAGAGTGGGATGGAATGAACGGCAGGGGCTGGCCCAGAAGGGCTGGACCCAGGTGGGACCGGGGGGCTCCCTGCCTGGGCGTGAGGGGAAGCAGCACAGCGCTGCCTCCCCGGAAAGTGTCACATGCCCTGGTCTGATGGTGACTCGGGCTCAGCCTGGATAAGGGTTGTCCTGTGGCCGCTCAGTGCCCGCGGGATCTCTCCTCGCAGCGGAGGCGCCCACATCACACAGGCCGCAGTGGCTTTGGCAGCACGCAGCAGCCTTGTGGGAAATTTTGGTGCACAAGTGACAGGGAGCTTAAGGGTATAAATTAGGCCTGGCAGTTTGTGGGCAGGATCACTGCAGGTCTCCGCCGGCGGGGCGGAGCCGCGAGGCCAGGATCCTGCCAGCGCGTCTGTGCGGCCTCTGGCTCAGGAAGCGTCTGTGGCTCCTAGACACTCTGTGGTCCCACTGCTGCGGGTGGCTGGGGCTCTGTCCTCAGCTTCCAGAAAAATCCTTCACCTGCTCTCGCACAGGAAGAAGATGCAAATGCTGATGGCAGTAGAAGGGTAGAGCACCCTCTTCCCAGGCACGCGGGTTCACAGCAGGTGGTCCCTGGGCACTGGGAACAAGAGGTTGTTTATGTTTTCTATGTGGAAATCAGCCAAACAAATGAACTTGGGACCACAGGGCTGGCATTGGTGAGCCAGCAGAAGAGAGCGTGACCTTCCCAGCGCATCGTCCCAGTTTCAGGTGGCCGTGTGCTCCGGCTGCTGGTTACACCCACTGCCCAAGTGTCCTGTAGCTAAGGTGGCGCCCACACACACACCCCACCCTGGGGCTCCCTCTCATTGCAGCCATAAACCCAAGGGAAAACACAGACACTCAGTCTGGGGATGCTCAAGGGTAATCAGCATTAGGAAGATTGGCGAGATGAATGTTAGGAGTCTTACAGTTGGGGGGCAGGGGAGATAGTGCGGTGGTCTAAGCACCTGCCTGGCAAATGCAAGGACCTGAGTGTGATTCCTGGTACCACATGCTGTGCCAGCCTTAGATCCCTGGGTGCAATAGGCCGCCCACCGAAACCAATGTGGTGGCACATGCCCGTAATCCCTTCACTGGGGAGGCTGAGACAGGAGATCACTATGAGCTTGAGCTGCATAGCAAGAGCTGTGCCAAATAAAGAAATAAATATTTAAAAAATGTCTTCCAGTTGGATTTCTCCCCACTGTCCCCAACTTAGCTTCACCCTGGTGTCCCGTGAGTGGCCCTCATCATAGCAGGGGCAGTGTGGGGGTTTTCAGGCCAGCCTGCAGGTGAATGGAGACTCAGGCTTCTGGCCAGAGAACTGCAAAGAGGAGGCAGGGCGCCTCATGCTGGGAGCACTGTGCAGCAGGGATGGAGAGGTGACCAGGAGAGCAGGAGGCCATGGCTGTGGCACTGCCGATCAGCTCCGGGGTCCAGCAACTCGTGGCTCGGTGTGACTCTGGCCCTCACTTGAATCCCACAGGCTTGGAGGATGGAACCATGGCCAGATCCTTCCTGAGTCCAGGACTGGCCTTGGGAAGGGGGTTTAGCCCAGGGAAGTCCACAGCACTGACCCTGGAGGCACTGCGGTGGCCGTCCGCCCTGGACCATATGCCCTGGACCATGTGGTAAGCCCAAGATTCAGTGGAAAGAACACTGAAAATGTCCAGGGTAGGATCTGTTAGGATTGTGGCATTTTCTGCAGGATTTTCAAGGTGGATATGCATAATGTATGAGTGAACTACATCACACAGGAGGGGCGGGGCCTGCGGAGGGGAGGCCTTACCACTCCAAGCGGGGGCTGGCCTGTGAGCACAGGGTGAGAGGGGCACAGCTGCCTATATTTAGCCAACCGGCAGCCGCTATCACACCAGCCCTCAGATATTGCTAAAACATGGTAGACAATGGAATGCTAAAGTTTTTTCAAGGAAGGAAGTTTTACAACACACCTACCTATGCATGAGCTTTGAAGACTTTATGCTGCATACAATAAGCCAGGGACATGATTTGCTGCATGTGAGGAACCTCAGACAGTCATGTTGAAAGGGCACAAGTGGTGGGAAAACGTGTGACTGATCAACAGGTAAAGAACTAAGTCAGGTCGGTTGCACAACACCACACCTGTAGTCAATAGAAGTGTCTGTATACTTAAAACCGGTTAATTGGATGGATTTCATTTTAACTGTTCTTGTCACAATTAAATTTTAAGTTAAATAATAAAAGTGTTTACATCACACAAAAGAAGGGAAAAGAGAAAAAAAAGAACAAAAACTTGAAAAATAGACATCAAATAATATGATGGTGGACCGAGTTCACACCTACTATTCATTAAATGTAAAATGCCTAAACACATGAATTACATGGCAGAGGTTCTCAGCATGACTTCTTAAGTGGCCCAACTTCACTTTTATGGTAGAGGTCCAGTATAATGACAGTTTGATTTAAAGTAAAAGCTAGATATAAATATATTGTACAAACTATCACTGAGAGAAGTTTGGGGTGCCCGGACAGGTGTTAGCATCTGCTGAGGCAGACGTGGGAGCAAAGAAGGAGTGGGGAGGACACCCCGTGACGAAGTGTGCATTTTATGCTGGAGCAGCAGGAGGCGTGGGCAGGCACACAGCTGCAGTTGGGACAGCATTGTTCACCTCTCAGGAATCGATGATACCTGCAGGCAAGAACTCAGCAGGCCAGAGAAGAGCTGAGTGGCACTGCCCTTTGGTGGTGACAGCTACAGTAGCTATGGAGCACTCAGCCAATAAAATCAGGACTCAGGAACTTGTGCCAAGACGGGCATGTCCTTGACTGTAAAACACGTCGGCAAGAGTTAAAAACCTGAAGTTAGGGGCCGGCCCAATAGCTCAGTGGATTGAAGTGCCTGCAGGCAGGCACAGGGGCCAGGGGTTCAATTCCTGGGCCTGCCATGCTGGCCCCACCCCTGGGGCACACTGAGATGGCAATTGAGACTAGGTGTGGTGGCACGTGCCTGTAATCCCAGCTCTTGGAAGACTGTAAACAGGCAGATCACTACGAGTCTGATCTAGTAGTGAGACTCTGAACACCCTCTAGGCCCTTCCCTAAAATTAATAATAATAATAAAAGCAAAAACTTGAAGTTATGTGAAATATATTCTGCATGGAAACTTGACTCTGACTGGAAGTTAAGAGAGAGATGACAGGAAACATCTCAAAAGTCTTGGACATTAAAACAACATATTTCAAAACAACCCACAGATAGAGTAGTCTCAGAGAAATAAGATCTTTAAATGAGGGGCCAGGAAGATGGCTCAATGGAATAAGCGCTTCCCTGGCAAGCACAAGGGCCTGAGTTCAATCCCTGGTTCCACAAAAAAAAAAAAAAAAAAAAAGATCTTTAAATGAGTACATTTACCTGTCCAGATTTGGAGAATAAGACCAAATAAAGCCATGCATGGGGGAAATGGGGAGTATTAAAGATTTGTACTAGAAAAACATCTCAGACTAGTAATCTAAACTTCTGCCATAGAAAGTAAGAGCAGGAAAGGTGAGATTGCATCTGCAATGTCAGCAGGCTGAAGCTGAGGCAGGAGGATGCACCCTGGGCCCACACTGGGCAACCTGGGGTTTTAGCAAGGCCCTGTCCCAAAAGAAAAACAATTAAAGACGATGGAGGATATAGCTCAGTGCAAAGCCAGTAGGTTTACATACCACATAGTAGAGGAGAGGAGGGGAAAAGGGAAAGCAAAAAAAAAAAAAAAAAAAAAAAAAAAAAAAATAGGAAAGAAGAAAAAAGGAAGCTGGGTGTGGTGCTGAGCACCTGGAATCCCAGCACTTGGGGCTACCAAGGCTGGAGGGTTATGAGATTGAGCAATCTGGTGATTTAAGGAGAACCTGCCCAGCAGAGTGGGTCCCCAGGGTCTGAGACAGGGATGGAGCTTAAAATTTCTTTGAAATAAGATGTGTGGCTCCCTCATGGAGCATCTCCTAGGTCCAGAGCATTTTCCTCCCTGTTGTGTGTGACGCCCCGTGATCGTCAGACTATCTTTAAGACAGAAGTCAGACTGGATTCTCATCATTGAAGAAAAAGCAGAGTGCACTTGCCGTGGTTTAGATGTGCCCAAGGCTACATCACTTCAGTTCCTCCTTTTCTCAAAACCTTTCTTCCTTTCTGGAAGCTCTCGAAGTAGAGTCCTGAGTGCAAGGCATGCGCTCGGGAGTGGAGGCCTGTCCCATCGTGCCCAACTACCCACTCCCAGGGTGCCACAACACTTGTCCCCTGCCCCAGGGCCGGGGCTCCCTGGAGTCTGCTGTGCCCTTCACCAGGCCTGTTCTGAACCTCACAGGGACAGCCCAGCCCTTCTGTCCTGAAAGCAGGGTCAAGGCTGTTGACATCTCTCCAGCTGAGGATGGGCACAAGCTTTCAATTTAGGGAGATGCTATCCCAGAACTTGATCCCAGGCCACTCAACTTAATTGCTAGCTGTGGGCTTGGAAAGCAAGTCCTCCTTCTGGACGGCATTGGCAGTTCCATATCACCACTCTCTCTCCTTCCTCTTCCTAAAAAAAGAACGGAAATTTCAGCCTTGAAAACTTTAAGGGCAAATGACAGAACCTTACACCCATGTGTGCTCTGCTGCGCTGCACAAATGCCTTCTGGGAAAGCCGGCGTGAGCACATGTGATGGGGAGGCAGGAAGAGGTGACCCTGTCCTTCGTCACCTGTGAGCAGGGACTGCGAGAGCCAGGTTTGTGCTGTCTCTTTTGGAGCTTCCCTAATTCATCTTCCACGGGAATGAAGGGAAGAAGGCTGGAGCCCCCAGCTCTGCTTCCCGGCATGCACAGCAGCAGCCCAGGCTGTGAGGCCTGCCCACAGGAAGTGCCACCATCGCCATCCCTTAGTCTCAGGATGGTGAAAAGGATATGGCACCCTAAATTACAAGGGCACCACTGGGCAGGGACTCGGGCCATTCTCTCCTCATCACTGGGCTCCCTGCGTGGACCGGTTTCTAAGAGCGGGTGACCAGGACCACAGGGACACTTGGTATCAACAGGGGTGGGAGTGAGGTGGGCTTCCACTGTCGTGCAGTAGTCTGGGTAATTAGGGCAAAAGCTTCAAGTTACTGGAAATCTTACTGAACACCCAAAGTTCCAGAGAGTTCTTTAAATCTCTGCTTGGAAGTGGAATAGGGTTTTCCCCCTTTCCCTTTCAAAGCTCTCTTCATAAATTTGAATATATACCAGTAAATGCCCGGTGCTGTGCCTGGCCAGCTGCCTTTGGTAAAGCACCTTTCTGGGGATTTCAGCTGGTTGGCTGTTGTCACATTGATCTTGGTATGTGTCACGGTTTGGGGTTTTTTCAAGGGGACAGATACAATGCAGGACACATTTTATAAGATTATTTTATAATGAATCAACCAAAGAATCATGTACAAAGAGTGCAGGAAATCTATCTACACACCAAAGACCAAAGAATCCAGCTGAAGGTCCGAATCCTGACATCCAACTGAAGACCTGGCGTCCATAACAACGCCCCCCCCCCAAGTCCACCTGGAGGCCAAGAGCCCACGACAAGGGCTCGTGCAGGCCTGCTCGTTGGATGTACCGTGGGAAGGTCAAGGGTGGAGGCTAGAAAGTCTGTGCTGGCGGGATGAAGGATCTGTGCCAGTGGCTGAGGGATCTGCTCTGGAGCTGGGAAGCGACGCTCAGAACAAGAACCAGAGCTCTCAGAGAAGTACCACGGCCATCTTCAGCAACAGGGAGGTCTCAAGCTCCTCTGATGCTGCGGAAAACTGAACTGTCAGGAAAGCCAATGTGATAAGCTTCTCCAGGAGGCTGAGCAGTGCACCATCTTCCCCTCCAGATCCAGGAAGGGATGCCTGTGTGAGGACCAAGCTCCCCCAAAATGAACCACAGCCACTCAGGGTCCCGAGCTCCTCCTCAGATGAGAACGATCAAGTTCATCAGGAGAGCCAGCGTGAGCAAGACCTCCAGCAGAACAGCCCCAGAGAAGCAGAAGCTTCCAGCAGTTCCCCGCAACCTCTCAAATGACCTCCCTAACAGCCTCTCCAGTTCTGCCTCTTTTTGTGTGTGTGTGGAACCGGGGATTGAACTCAGGCCTTGCGCTTGCCAGGCAAGCGCTTATTCTACTGAGCCATCTCCCCAGCCCCAAGCTTGCTGCCAGCAACATTCCTCAGCTGGGCCTCCCACGCCCAGCACCAGGCCTCTTCAGTTCAGCTGGGCATAACAAGCTGACCACCGGTTGGCCATCAACCACAGGGTGCTACAGATGTTCCAGGTGAACTCGGCTTCAGCTAGAATCTGAGGCTCCCCCTTGTCCCTATTCCGGCCCCCCTTGCTGTCCCCACCTTGCCGGATCTCACTGGGGAAACCTGCAAGGCACAGCATCCCTCAATCATCATGTTCTTTCCTGAGATTCTGCCTCCTGCCTGCTGTCTCCAGGGCAGAGGACAGCAAATCCCTCACCTTCACCCTCCACCAAGTCCTTCCTCTTTCCAACAAACAAATGATTGCTTGTGCCAGAAATTGCAGTAAGAGTTCTATCAAAATTAACTCAGTAAATAATTTAATTATTTGCTGTTATTTAATCCTCATTCTTCTGCCAGTAGGTATCAGGTTTCCCACCATCATTTGTTGAAAAGGCTACCTTTCTGAATAATCTTGACATACTTATAAAACATCAGCTCTAAATGCAAAGGCTCCTTTCTGGAATCTTCTGTGTTATTAATCTATATCTATGTTTATGCCAGTACTACACTGCTTTGACTATGCTAGCTTTGTGGCAAGTTTTGACATTGGAAAGGGGGGATTTTCTAATTTTGCTCTTCCTTGCTCTTATTTCTCTATCTCTCTGTCTCTGTCTCCGTCTTTGTCTGTCAGTCCTACTGGGGACTGGACTCAGGGCCTTCACAGTGGGCTACATCTCTACACTTTTATAAATTTATTTTTAAATAGTTTCAGCCAGGTTCTTACTAAGTCAGTGAGTTACCCAAGCTGGGCTTGAACTTGTGATCTTCCTGTCTCCCTTCCCAAAGTCCTGCACCATCATGCTGGATGCTGTCCAGGGCAGAGGACAGCAAATCCCTCACCTTCACCCTCCACCAAGCTCCGCTGCTGCTGACCAAGCTCCCTCTTCTTTGGACTCTGCCTCATGATCCTATTCTTCTGAGACACCAAAGACCTCCCCTTCCCTCCTAGGGCAGTCACAGGTACCCACCTCTTCCAACATGCCTATGTCCAAGTCCCCTCAGGCTTTGACCTCCTGTGTTCCCCTGGTGACTGTCGCGGAGACCGATGTTTGCGACTGCCCTCCTCCATTGGGCAGGAGTTCTGCTCCTCAATTGTAAAGATTCTGAAGACAGGGACAAGACGCCACCTGCTTCCCTGGGAGAGATGCACTGGTTACGAGTGGTGCTGGGGACAGCAGTAGCACCAGCACCCTGGCTGGCTCCTCCAGGTGTGAAAACCGAGGCTTATAGGAAGCTGCGGTGACAAGGACTGGGGCCCCGTGTTTCTGCCTTGCTGGCCTGGGTTGGTTTCAATCCTATCCGGCGGTTGTATGGAGGAAGGGGTCTCTGCATCTGAGAGGGTCCTGGGACAGCTAGCTGGGGTGGGTGGGCAGGGCGTGGGAGGAACAGAGACAGCCAGGCTTTCTGGGTCCAAAGGAGAGCTGTAGCCCGGGAGCTGGCGGGGAGGGAGCCCAAACTCTTCCAAGAGCCTTCCTTAGAGCCAGGGGTGCTGGGGGCTCAGGGTCGCGCTGTGTTCAGGCAGGGCTTACAGATGCTTGGGAGACCCCCTACCACTCCTGGGCCCCAGCACAGGGTGGGCTCCGAGCTGTGGCTCTGGTTGCAGTGACTCTTCCAGCTGGAGCATTCAGGAAGCTGTCCCTCTAGAGACGCTTCTCACTGGCTTCCCAGCCTCTCCCTGCGGGCGGCTTTGTCCCACACCCGGTGGCCTGGAGAGGAGCCTCAGAGGGAAGCGAAGCCAGGCGGGGTGGGGAGTGTAGTTCAGTCCCATGGGGTACACAGCTAGTGGGTGCTCTGGGGACCAGGGTGCTGTCACTGCGAGTTGGCCCTCAGGTGACAGGCAGTTAAAGAGCCACAAACGTTTGTCATCCTAGAGCAAGAAGGGGATGCTTAGTGCGAAGGCATCTTCACTCCCTCAGATGAGGAGCATGCGGCCCCGACCCAGACAGCAGGCCTCCAGGCAGCCACGGAACTTGCGCTTTCCCGGGGCAGGTACTGGGGTGCAGCCCAACTGCAGGGCGCCGTGGGGTCCTCTGTCTATCTGTCTGTTTCCTTTCTGCTTAGAAGAAAAGTGCACCAAAATATAAATAAAAGTAAGACATCTATTTTTTAAAAGGAAAGTTCTATCATGTGACTATTCATGTATTCTTTTCTGAAGAAAAGAATTCAAGTAGTATTTTCTGAGAAAAAAACACACATACAGTAGACTTAATAGTCTTCTTCATGGAACCTACCTAGTAGTCATGTTTTAGTGCCTGGACTCTGACTATGAAGGAAAGAGAAGACGCATCTATATATCAGGTCTTGCTTCTTTTTTTTTTTTTTTTTGCAGTGCTGGGGATTGAACCCAGGACCCTGCACTTGCCAGGCAAGCACTTATTCTACTGAGCTATCTCCCCGGGCCCTTAGTTATCATTCTTGCTGTGAATTTATATTTCAGTGTTGGGATCCCAAGCAGTCTGCCTCCATTTCCCAGTGAGGTCCGCAGAGTGTTGGGGGATCCTTGCCCTCTCCAGGCACAGTGGACAAGCACATGTCATCCTATAGTTGAATGCAGACCGGTGTTGAGGGAGTGGGAGTGATGAATAGTCATCCTCCCTTTCTCCCGAGGGCTGATCATTGCAGCGGTGCAGGGTCTTTGTTTTAGAAGAACAAGGAATACAGCTGAAAGTAGTAAAAACAGAGAGTCAGTACGAGAGTTGGTAAGCGTCAGCTCTCCACCGAGCATCCTCTTTGTGCTACCTTGCTGGGTGCCCCGTTGCTTGTCGGGTGAAGCACCTTAGACAGGCAGGCAGTGTGCTTGCAGTCACCTGGCCAGATGGAGAGGGTCTCGCGAAGGCTCGTAACGTTCACCTCCACTCCTTGCACAAATACTCTGTGACGGCGCTTTGGCAAGCTGGTGCCACCACCACAGAATTCTTTAAAATGGAAAGCTTGTGCATCCCATGGAGTTTTCAGGACTATCTCTTCAATGTATTTCTGGAGTTTGTCATTTGGGTTCTTAATGGGCTAATGTCGTCGCTTCGTTATCACAGACTGCTCAGGCCAGCAGTCTCCCGAGTGAGCGGATGGGAAGCTTCAATGACAGGCAAGTGCTACGATTTTAGAGCTCTGGGAGAATTGAAAAAAGCCCTCTAGAAGAATTTGAGATTCTCTGGGGCTGAGGCAAAGATCTCTCGGCCGCCCTGGATGGCTGTATTTATTTTGTTATTAAACAAAAGAGGAGGATACTTAAGAAAGGTGGGAATCTGAGCAGGACCTTGGGAGAATGAGGGAGTCGCACAAGGATGCCCCCAAGAATACATTATGCCCTTGCAGGAGAGCTGTGTGACCTCCAGGAGGCCTTCACCAGGGGGGCAGTCTTCACCTAGTTAGCTGGGGTCGGAGCCTGGCTCCTCAGCTGCAGCCTGGGCTTGTCCTTGGGGGCATCCGGCTTCACGGGCCACTACAGGCCTCAGCTAGGACCAGTGACTTACAGAGGCTCACTCACTGAGTCCCCAGCTCACCTCCAGACAGGAGCACGAGGCCCGGGACAACTCACACACAAACATGGAGGCCAGCTGGTTGACTCGGTCCTGCTCAGAGCTCTTCCTAGCGGTCTCCATCAGGTCCTTGTCTTTGAAGTCAATTCCCTGCAGGGCACGGGACCTGCGATCCCACCCCTTCTACGCACAGCTGCTTCCGGGGTCTGGTCGTCCGTGCCAGTGTCCATCGTCCTTGTACCTTCCACGCCTTCTCCTGCTCCGTGCCCCAAGACTGTGTCACCATTTCCCAGGACAGCCCTGGCCCAGGCTTTTGGTCTTGCAGGGTTATTAGCTGCTCTATTATACGCGCCGAGGGTGTCGTATCCTAAAAGACCACTAGGTGTCAGCAGCGACCCCTCTGGAGAACGCAGCAAGGGCCTCATCGCAAAAGTCAAATCAGAGCAAATCATTAAGTGTGGTTAGAGCTACCTGCGGCCTTGGCCACTCAAAGCAAGGCACAGGGCGGGAGGAGGAGCGAGGACAGGTACGGGGCAGGTAGCTCCTTCCTGGGGCTCGACGCTGTGGGCAGGCTCCCTTCCTCGCAGACAGGCTCTGCGTGATAAATGGAAGGAGAGTGTGCTGCCTTTCCAATTTTCACTACCAAGAGGGAGCCGGCAGGCAGCTAGGGAGTGTGGCAGAGGAGAGCCCTCCTCCCGCCGGCCGGAGGTCCTCCAGGTAGCCCCGGGCTCCCGTACGCCCCTGGAGGGCTGCCTGTGAGCCAGAGGCTGCGTCACCCCAACAGAAATGCTTCAAAGAAGATCCGAAAGCTTCTGCACTGGGACCCCCCCTTGGAACGCTGCAGGGACGTGCTGAGGCCACCTTGGACTGGGTGGGTGCGGCCGGCGTCTAGGCATCCTTCTGGCCTAGGGGTGCAGCATGGCCCCCCTGATGCTCCTGCCTCCTGGCCCTGGGAGCTGCCGGCTGCTGCTGCTGCTGCTGGCCCTCGCCAGTTCTGAGGCAGCTTCGGACTCGAATGAATCTGCGAATTCCACGGCCCAAGATGCACCGAGCGCCCGGTTGGCTGCTTCCAGCCGAGAGCCGGCTGAAAGGATTTCTGTGTTTGAGCTGGACTACAGCTATGTGCAGGTTCCTTACGAGGTCACCCTCTGGATACTTCTTGCATCTCTCGCAAAGATAGGTAAGTCACGGAGCGCCTGTCTGGGGAGCTGTTTCTCCTCTGAAATAACATAGATTGGAGCTGTCGCTGTGATTACAGAAAAATTCTCACCCTTTCAGTCCAGGAAAAGCCATGCTGCTATTCTCACCCTTTCAGTCCAGGAAAAGCCATGCTGCTATCCCTAAAGCTGCACAGAGCTTCAGCACCGGGCTTGGAAGGTTAAGTGCACACTCCTGGTTCCGGAGTTGTTTACCCTTCTTCTCGCTTTGAGGTGACAGCCATGAGACTTTGCCACAGAAAAATCTCTGGCTCTGCGCTATAAACACACAATGTGTAAGTCGCGGAGCCCTCAGGCTGGTGTGTGTTGGAGACTGCAGGGCCCCGTAGTAGTTCTGCTGCAGCGCCCACGACCTGAATGCTGGGCTGCACACAGGGGGCGCATCCTGGCTCCTGTAGGGCTTTCACTGCAGGCGACTTGGGCTCCTTCCACAATGGCAGGCAAAGCAGCGAGCAGGTGGGCTGTAGGCTGTGCTTACCTCTGTCTGTATGAGAGAGATTCGGGGCTCTGGGCATGAGCTTACGGTGCAATGCGGTCAGCACCTTAGTCAAACAGAGCCCACGGCACACCTCTGTTTTCCGGTGTTCCCCAAAGTGGAAGAAAGTGGGGTTATCTCTGATGCTAAGTGTAATGCCTCCTTAGCCTCGGCTGTAACTTGGTTCAGAGCATGCAGATTGGCCCTTGAGGTAGACACGCTGGGTCGTCTTCATGTGCTCTTGTGCTCTCTTCTCTCTGGTGGGTGCAGGGTACCGAATGAGAGGCATGTGGTCTGCACTTGGTGCCCCTAGCCCTGCCCTGGGCACAGCAGTGCCCCCTTCTAGCAGCAGGCTACCTGGCTGGTGAGGCGTGAAGATGCGGGGAGTCACTAGGTTGACCAGCTCTTTCAATCTGCTACACGGTGAGGTTGCACGGAGGTTCTCACATTAAGGTTAAAGAAGAGTGTGAAGAATGGTGACTCCCAGAGTAGTGATGTCCTCAGTTCAGAGCAGAGAGTCCCGCCTTCCACAAAGCCCAGAGACACCAAGGCGTGCCAGCCGGTCGTCTGTGGAAGTGGGGTTCTCCTCTGTGGGTGACTCTGCCCCTTCTGTGTCTCCACTGTCGCCCAAGAATGATGGACTATGGTGTGGGGACTGGGAAACTGGCCCTGCCCCTGGTCAGCTGGCCACTGTCCCCCAGTGGACCCAGAGTAGAAGGGTCCATCTTATCTTGATTTTACCATAGCAGAAAGCATAGCTGGCGGCTGCACATGAAAAGGCCGTGAGACGCGGTATCGGTGGGATGACGGGTCATAGGCCTGAGGCTGCCAGGGGACCCTGTGTCCCAAAACACTTCAGCAGAGTAACGGAAATAGGCTATCTGCCGGGACATGTTCATTCAGGGGCGACTTCCTACTTGCTGGTATTCAGGAAGGCAGAGACTTCCTGTATTCTGCGAGTAGAAGCAGCGAGGGGAGAAGAGGCTGACTTACGGGGTGCGCCGTGGTGTGCCAGCTGCGGGGCTGGAAGTTTTACATATGATGCTAAAGTAGTGATGATGTCGATGATTTACACAACTTGCACGCTTAAGGCACACCTGGGGGCTGTAAAAGATTGTTTTTGAAACCTGAGTAGGAACAAAATAACCCTTATCATGTTATTCATTCCCTGAGTCCTTGTTCAGTGAAGGCACATTTCCGAGCCCCACAAGGAGAATGATCTTGGCCCCTAACCTCAAGGGACTTAGCTTAAGTGCGAAGATGGGTGGCCTAGAACTGAAGGTTGGCGTGCTGACGCAGAAACATGAAAAATTCCTCCCGATCCTCTTTTTTTTTTTTGGTTTTGTTTTGGTATTATAGATCGAACTGAGGACCTGGTGCTTGCCAGGCAGGCACCTACGCTGCTGAGCTATCTCCACAGCTCAATCCTTCTTAAAACAACTAAGTATGCATTAATAAAGCAAAGGTATTCTAGGACAAAGATAGTAAAAAATCATGCCAGATTTTGGGTTGTCTTTCATTGCTGTTTCACTTTTTAGAACACCATGGAAAAGCTTGGAAGGACAGAATGATAGATTCACCTCAGATTTTCAAGCAAGACTTCATTATTGGGTGCCCTTAATGTTTGGAGGTGCCAACTCTAGTGCCCCTCAGAGAGGTGAGACCAGCTCTGGATGTGGAGTGTGCAGCGTTGTCCTCAGCAGTGTCCTGCTGGCAGGAACAGAGCCTCCTCTTGCTACAATCCACTGGGCTCTGGGATCAAAGGCAGGACACACAGGGTCCGCCTTGAGAAGCTGGAGTCCCAGGAGCAGAGGCAGATCTGTGGGAGCCGTGGCATGGGTTTTTCTACCTCCTTGACATAAGTAACGTTGGTTAAGTAAGAGCTAGCTGAAGAGAGGAGAGGTTGAAGAGGCGGGCTGAGAAAGCCATGACTCGGAAGTGGAAGAGCCACGCCTGGAAGGACGGATCTCACCGGCCTGAAAGCCAAGGAGGCAGCAGTGTCGGGGCGTCTCCCAAGAAGACGGCACCCCACTGCGCCACCCTCCCCGCTGACCGTGAGTGCACGTATCCAAGGCCAGAGTCAGGGAAGCCCGTGTCCTCTTTGGGTGGACATGCTCTCCCTTCCTGCACGGAGAAGGCAAGCATCTGCCCAAGCCTTGCTCAGCTGTCTCTCTTGCTCCTGAGCGTCTCCCTCCCGAAGCACCTCTCATTCCACCATCTGCCTCATGGGATGGCCGTTGCCTGACAATGTTCTCAGTTTCCCGCGGAAGGGTGTCTCCGGGGGACATTACACCTCTCACACATTCATCATACACTTGTAGGTTACTTGGGCAAAGAGGCCAGCTGCTGCAGGGGAGACACTTGGCTGCTACGTGGGGGGGAGCCACAGCCGGGCCAGTCACCCTGCACTTGGGGAACTTGCAGATTAGTGGGGAGGTGAGCAGCGCACAAGGGCCGCGAGAGAGGGATCTGTGCTTGGAACGAGGCAGGCAAAGGGCTTCGCTTACTCAGGGAAGACACAGAATTTCCTCTAGGGAAGCTGGGCAAAGCTTAGCCTCTATTCTGAGCAAGAGCCAAACAGGCCAAGGAAAGAAACCACCTCCAACAGGGATAATAAAATCAGACCAGACAGGCGCTGTGGTGTGGGAAGGAGTCCAGTGGGCTGTCGTGGAGGCTGGGCGCGAGGGCAGGCTGGGGGAAGCTGGCCGAGGGGGACCTGCGGGCTCCATGGGCTCCTGTCTCTGTGTCTATCTGTGAACTCAGAGTGCCCCTCACTATGCCCTCCGGTTGGATCAGCTCTATCCTCTTATTCTCACAGTGTGAGGTGTAGCCCAGTTTCTGTTGTTGGCTTTGCACCAAGCTCGCTGTGCCTGGAGTGGGTCTTCCAGCAGGAACACTCCTTAGGTTAGCTCCTGGTGGTGCAGTGCACCTGCTGTGTCTTAGGTGAAAATCAAGGTGACTAGACACCTACGGTGCAGGCCGCTCATCCGCCTGAAGAGTGTGGAATGGCCTGGCTGGAGGTGAGGTGGAAGGCATGTGCTCAGCTCTCTGACACTGTAACAATATCCAAGACACAGCAGGTAACTTAGAAGAGGGTTTGGGCTGACAGTTCTGAGGAGTTTTGAGGACATTCAGCGTCCTAACCATGGCGACAGGTTGGAAAGACAGTGCGTGGTCAGGGCTGGTGGGAGACGCCAGGGGTGCAGCGGTGGTGGGCGCGGGGAGGAGGCTGGGCCGGGAGCACCGATGATGACATGCTGACAGCAGAAACCGGGGGCTGTGTGACAGCCAAGACTCGAGGAGAGCAGCCGCGTTCCCTCTCCCAGAGTGGCGAAAGTTGGGCCTGGGTGACAGCAGATAGCTCTAGATCCCTCATTTCTCCATCTATGCCCTCATAGACCCCCAGAAGATGGAAGAGGGGGAGGGGGAAGAAGGGGATGGGACAACAGAGGGGAATGAGCTGTCTCCTGCACTGAGTAGGACCAGCCGGGCATGTGACTGACTGATTGATTGGTTGATTGATTGATTGATTTGCAGAGCTGGGGACTGAACACAGGCCTTGCACAGGGAGGCATTCCCAACCTCCTTTAAAGACTGTATCCATTGATTGTTTCGTGTATTTGCATTAAGAGAAGGTTCTGTAGGTCACTAAGTGGCCCAGCCCAGGCTCCAACTCGCCATTCTCCCCCTTCAGCCTTCAGACTGCTGGGGTCACAGCCCCTGCGCGCCCCTGCTCGCGCCCCAGAACCACTGTCCCCGTGCCCCTGTGTCCTGCCTCAGGCTGGGGAGCCAGCGTGCCCCCGCGGGGCACTCGCCCACCCAGCCACCCTTCTCTTCACCCGCAGGCTTCCACCTCTACCGCCGGCTGCCGCACCTCATGCCCGAGAGCTGCCTGCTTATCCTGGTGGGCGTCCTGGTGGGCAGCGTCATCTTCGGCACGGACCACAAGTCGCCGCCCGTCATGGACTCCAGCATCTACTTCCTCTACCTGCTGCCGCCCATCGTGCTGGAGAGCGGCTACTTCATGCCCACCCGGCCTTTCTTTGAGAACCTGGGCTCCATCCTGTGGTGGGCAGGCCTGGGCGCGCTCATCAACGCCTTCGGCATCGGCCTGTCCCTCTACCTGGTCTGCCAGGTGCAGGCCTTTGGGCTGGGCGACCTGCACCTGCTGCAGAACCTGCTCTTCGGCAGCCTGATCTCGGCGGTGGACCCAGTGGCCGCGCTGGCCGTGTTCGAGGAGGCGCGGGTGAACGAGCAGCTCTACATGATGATCTTCGGGGAGGCGCTGCTCAACGACGGCATCAGCGTGGTGAGCGATGGGGGCGGGCTGGGGCCAGGGGCGGGGTCTCGCGGGGGAGGGCGGGGTCCAGGGGGTCTGCACCCGGGACCTCAGCCCTGTCCCTGCCAGCTGGCTTCTTGGGAGACAGGGAGGAGAGGGGGCCATAGGGCTATGCTGCCTGCTGTCGGACAGGCAGAGAGCGGAAGTAAGGGCCACACAGGTGGTGGCCATTGGAGCCAGGTGTGTGATTATTCCGGCTCATCTCTGGCCTTGCCTTGCCCTCTGCGGGCTGCCCCTCCCCTTCCCTCCCCCATCTCCCCTTTCCTTTTCATCCTCTCCTCTCCCCACCCCTCCCCCTTTCCTGTCTATCCCCTCCCTCCCTCCCCCACCCCTTCCCTTCTCCCTCTTTCCCTCCCTCCCTTCCCTTCATGCTGCATTACAAGTTAAGTGGAAACACCTGCTGGGGAGAGGGGACCGAGGAGTCCAGCTACACAGCACAGGTGCAGAGCGTGCATGCGCGGCGTGCACGGAGGGCGCTCCTGGAGAGACGCGGGAGGACCAAGGGACTAGGGTGACACCGTGCACCCAGGCCTGGGGCATCGGGACAGGGAGCAGGACCGATAGAACTGGGCAGCCCCTTAGTCTATTTATGGATATTTTAGGTGCTCTTACTATTTTAAAATTTATACCTCAGCACCTAAGTAATACTAGAATGCACCTCATTATTGAAAAAGTCAAAGTGGAGCTGGGTGCCATGGGGCACACCTGTAATCCCAGCCACTCAGGAGGCTGAGGCAGGAGGTGCACTTGGGTCTGGGAATTCAAGACCAGTCTGGGCCTGCAAGCAGGGGCAGGGGCCAGGGGTTCAATCCTCGGGCCTGCTATGCCGGCCCCATCCCCAGGGCGTGCTGAGAGGGCAATTGAGACTGGGCGTGGTGGCGCATGCCTGTAATCCCAGCTCTTGGGAGGCTGTAAACAGGCAGATCACTGTGAGTCCGATCTAGTAGTGAGACCCTGAAAACCCAGTAGACCCTTCCTTAAAAAAATACAAAAAAACAAAAACAAAAACAAAAAACAACACACACACACACACAAACCCCCCAAAAACCCAAACCAAAACAATCAACCAACCAACCACTACCACCACCACCAACAAAAAAAATATGTCTTCAACAACAAAAAAAATATATCTGGGCACTTAATATCTCAATAAAACCAAAACAAACACAAGCTCGGGGTCCGCTCCCACTTTTGCAGGCCATGAGAGCGGCTGCCGCTTTTGTCCCTTCCTGCGTTTCCTCTGTGTCCCGGGCTGCGGATCAGTAACCCTTCACATGCATTGCTGGGGTGATCTGAGGTCTTGCTAGCTGTCGTCGGCTTGGAGCTCCTCCCGTGTCTTCTCAGCCTTGCCCAGCGTCTGGTAGATGTGTCTCCTGTGACTGTCTTTGGGCTTGCACTGACAGAGAGCTATTGAGATTGTTTCCAGCGCTCCCGCTTACAGTGTTGCCGTGAGCTTTCTGGTTTCCACCTGCCTCCCTTTTTGTGTCTGAGCGTACTTTTATAGACTACTTCCTGCAAAATAAACCAGCCAGATGAGGCAGGAATGGGTGCATTTGCAAGTCTGAAATGCGCTGCGGTCCCCATCCCTTCCTACTCACCGCGTTGGTAACGGAAATGTCTCACCCCGGGCTGAGTTCAGGACACTGGATAGGCACGGATGTTGTCCTCAGGACAGGTCACATGTGCGGCCCTGCAGGAGGGCACAGCACGCTGCACACCTGGACCTTGGTGTGTGCTTCACACCAGGCTGCCACGACTTCAGGAGAAGTCTCCTCTCTGCCTTGGGGACCCTGCCACCTCAGCCCCCAACGCACTTCCAGGCAGCGGTCTGTACTCATTCCTGGCACGGGCGCAGGGCTCCGAGTCTGTCTGCAGTTCGCATCCAGAGCCCACACCGAGCCCCTTCAGCTCTGACCTCACAGCCAACAGGGCACGTGGCCCTCCTCACAGCTTCCTTGCCTCCGAAAACCCATTTCTCCAGAATGGTCCTTCCAGAATGAAATCATGACCTGCCAGGCCCCGAGCGTCTGCGGAGGGCTCGCCCTTGACCTTGGCTGGGCCATGCTGCTGTACGCTGGCTCTGGTGGCCTTGGCCGGAACTGTGTGGTCACCCACAGCACAAGAGTGTGTGTGCCAGGGCATGGCTGGGTCCCCTAACTGGAACCAGAGGATCCCAGGGCCAGATTTAGAAAGCAGCTCGAAGGCAACCCGTATTTTCTGCCGTCCAATGGTATTTTGAGCTTGGGGCTTTGAACTCACCCTGTCATTGAGGAAGGAGCCAGCCTGGTCTGGTCACAGCATCCCTGCAGCAGGCCATCTGGGTCACCAGGAGGAGGGTGGCCTGGGACTGTGGGCCTTGTGCCAGCTCTGAGAGCGCATCCACTGAAGCCGCCTTCTGCCCTCAGAGCCAGGCAACGGCAATGCGTGGGGGCCTCTGTGGCCTGGTTCTGTGGTTCCTCCCTCTTGCTGGGACCTTAGGCCGCAGCTCTGGTCACCTTCAGTGGTGGGCACGGCGAGTGGGGATCTAAGCCAAGAGTGTTGGGAAATGATGACCAAGCTTGCATTGTGCGCTGGACAGTGGCTGTGAGAATAGGTTTTGGGTGTGCTCAGCACACAGGAAGAAAGGAAGGGGGAAAGGAGGAGGGAAGGAGGACAGAGAAAAGCAGGGAGGGAGGGAAGGAGGGAGGCCTTAGTAACCTGTAGCTGGATTCTTCAATTACCTATGTCAAACGAAGCATTTCTTTAGCCTATGTGTATTAAAACAACAAGGTATATGACTTGAATACAGACAAGTTTTTATCTTAAAATTGAAGGATGCTTTGAATGCTGCTTAAATTGAAGATCACCCATATCCCCAGTGCTATTTCATGCCCCAAAATCCCAGCAGGAAGATGGGTCCAGCTCCTATATCCAGGCCCCATGAGGGAATATGTATTTGTTTTTGATGGCAGAAATCTGTGGAATCTGTGAATTTATACAAAGTTTGGGTTTGGTTTATTTATATATTTTTATGTATCTGGTACAGGGTCTCACTATGCAGTTCAGACTCCTAGTGATCTTGCTGTTTTGGCCTCTCCATCGCTGGGATTACAGGCATGCACCACCACGCCTGGACCAGATTGCCAGCACAGCGTTCCCAGGGCAGGGCCAGCGTGACATGTGGTACCACGGATCAAACCCGGGTCCTTGAGCTTGCCAGTCAGACACTTAGACCGCTGAGCTATCTCCTCGGGCCCTGAATTTGGTATATTGACAAAAATCTCTGAGCCACCCATAGCAAGAGAGATATTGACTCACTTCGTAGGGGAGGGCAGCGCCCAGGCTGTCGTGTTTGTTAGGGTCACATTTCTCATGTTTACCTAGTTAGCTAAGCTGGCTTACAGATGCAGTGCGTCTTCCAGGGGTTGGAGGTGTGACGGTGCTGGAAGAAGCGAAGCCTAAAGGAGCCCAGGGAGGACGGATCCGGGCCACCTTGGGCAACTGTGTCCAGATGCTGTGGGCTTCCTAAGAGTACAATTTTAAAATTATTGTTTTCCTTGTCTCTTTCTTGCTTTCAGTTTTACTGTCTTCCTTCATCTCGTCCCACTGGACTTTGATCCCTTATTCTCAGGGGTACAGAGGGCCACATGTCCAACCTCTCATGGCTGCTTCAGGCTGCTGGGCCCCCAGGGGATGTGTACTGTCACTCCACGCTGTCTGACAGATCCGAAGCAGGTGGAGGGACACCAGGGCCTGGTGTGTGAGGAATAACCTTTTTTTATTTTTTTTTGGTCAGTATAGAAAAGAGCACAAGGATGATACAGGCAATTTGTCCGGGCCAAGGTTCCATTTTATAGCCATGTTAGCAGGGAGGGGCTAAGCTGGAAAGGAGAACATTGGTGAAGAGCGGCTACAAAGAGTTGTCCAAGTGACAGAATTAGATAGCTTTTGAGGTAAGGCTTCTAATCATTCAGAACAGCTGCTATTTGTCCAGAAGTGTTAATCCAAGTACGATGTGTGGAGTTGAAAAGCATAGAGTCTTCTCGGTTTGCCCAACAAGAAACCCAACATCCCTGATTCGAATCACACAGTGGCCACAGGATACACTCAGCAGGACAGCAGTGTCTTTCTGACCACTGACCCATTAAAACCTTAGACCAGGGCCTGCAGCCCCATCCCGGGTCTAGAATCTGCTCTGTAGACATGAAGGCCTTTTGTAATCGCCAGCCCCAGATGGTATGAACATAGACAAGTAGATAACAGGAAGTTCCTACCACAGAGGTAACAAAGTTAGCAGCTCCAACACGCCTTGGCCATTTTGCTTCTGTAGATAGGTACAACTCTACAAGAAGCCAGAGGTTTACCTCAGGGGTATTAAACTACATTAAAAGAAGTTAATGCTAGCATATTTAGAGAGACAGAAGGACCAGCGGGGCTGGGAGTCGTGGCCCCTGATGGCTGGGAGGAGCTGGATGGTGGCATGGTGCTTGGAACCCTTGGTGTAGCTAGCCTCGCTTTCCCTGATTTCACTGTACTCTCAAGTGACACCTTCCTGGTGGGAGTTTAAGATGAATTAACTTCTTCTTCTTCTTCTTCATGTCTGTGAATCATTCTTCAACTGCAACCATGGATCTGCCTGCTTTTCTGCATCCTGTTGTAACCTTTTCAAGCCGCAGAGGGTTCCTAGGAGCTCACGCCTTGCATTCCTAGCAATGGCTGGCCTGGGGCTGCGGACACAGCCCGGAGCATTTCTGGTCCTGTGGTTGCAGGTCACACTCCAGCATTGGCTGTCTGGGCTGCAGGAGGGAAGGAACAGACCCCGTGCCTTCTAGAGTGGAGCTGGCTGCTGGAGGTGCTGGTGAGGAGTTTGCCGGACGATGGAAGTGGGCGACATTCGCCAGAACGTGCTGGGCAGCCAGCCCTGCAAGGTTAGACGTGTGACAGGTGTGGGAGGCAGCCTGGGTCTGCCTCAGACTGTGGCGGTCCATGTT